TGCTAACATTTCTTTAAGACCACACTTCTTCTTCATCCAGCGATTCGTTCCCGACGGACCTTCCAAGTCCCAGATGCGCTATGAGGTTTACCGCAACAAGAACTCTAGCGACGAGGACTTCAATGTCATCAGTGATATGTACAAGCGCATCATGTCCGAGGACAAGTACCTCTGCGCCAACGCCCAGAAGAACATTAACGCTGGGATCTTTGTCAACGGCGAGCTCCACCCTGAGATGGAGAAGGGCCCTCTCTTCTTCCAGAAGACGGTGCGCGAGATCATCACCGAGCACTGGAAGAAGGAGCAACAATCCGGCAGCGAGATCTGGCCGGCGCAGCAGCAGGTGCCAAAGACAGCTACGGCGAGTCAGAGTGATTCACAGCTTTGTGCGGCAATCGACTGCTGTAGCAGAGGCAAAGGCAGAATGGACGACAACAAGAAGATGTGTCTTGATGAGGCGATTGCATTTTGATTCGAAGTTGTTGTGAAGTAGAAGCCCGAAGGACGGCAGGCATGGATCATGGCGAGACTTGAGCATCTCACCCTTTGGCGTTGGATATTGATAGCCTTCATTTTACACCACCTTAGTTAATTGGGCGAAATTGACACTTTGAGCATTCTTTCCATGACAAGTTGCCAATATGCCGTCGTCACTGAGCGAAGTATTCGATGATTTCGTGGTTCTCAAATTCGGAGTGATCAAGAATTCTTTCTTTTGCCATGTGTTTTGGAACATTTTGCGCGGGAAACTTGCCGGACTCCATTTCCATTCTCCACTAATAACAGCTCATGAAGAACTCCTACACTTGATGCAATATAAGTCTCAATCATGGTGGTTGTGCAGACTGTTATGCTCTAAGCCTCATTTTTCAAGGAATGTGTAATCTTTGTCTTATATCGGGGTCGTTCCGTGTTGGAGATGCTCTTAAAAAACCTTTATACTTGCTCCTGCCCCTTGCTCTGAACTGCAACTCCCTCGACACCCAGATCACTCTCAGACTCATCTGAATTCTGCAAAGTCTCCTCCCTGCCTTGGTTCCAGTTACCAAAAACAGCAAGCAGCGTGAAAGGAATTGTGACAGCCCAAAGAGAGAATCCCAAAATCATCTGGTTCTTGTTGGGCCAGTGTGTCGCGCCAACGGCGTAGGCAATCGTACTACCTATCGATTCCCACGATCGTAAGATTCCCGTGGTGCGCGCGATATCACCATCACCCTGAGCGCCCTTGATCTCAGCCATCAGCCAGTAGATGTATGTCTGCAACATCTCATAAAAGAACTTGAAGAACATGTAGACCGTAAACGCAGAATTGAAAAATGGACCATCACCGAGGTCGAAAGACGGCGGGTCCTCCATGCGTGATAGGCGTGTCTCAATAATAGCATTCCAGATCCATGCGGTCGTGATGAAGACAAGAATGATAATATAGACGACCTTGGATTTGGTGGAGCGTTCAAATCGCCTAACGTCCAGAATTGCGCCGGTGGTTATGTTCGCGGCGGCACCGACAATGGCTGTGAGGAACGATGCCAAGGCTCTGGACCGGACGGTGAAGTACGCTTTTGATCGATTATTAGTCACTTGCATGCTCATGAGTAAAGGCTACTATGTCGGAGACGTACTTGTGAGATAATTCCCCTGGTAGGTGGTGCCGAACTGGCCAGCCAAGAAAACGGGGATGAGTAGCAACATGTACTTGTTCTTTAGCTGTTTCCAAATGGCCCTAGCTTCGATGGCGAAGTTGGTCTGCTTCATGTACGGAATCTTTGTGCCATCGGTTCTGATGACTTTCTGGGGTTGTGATAGCAATAAAGCGGCGGGTGCTCCCAAAGATGAGATGGCAACTAAGCCGAGATACGTTGTGTAGGTGACCTTGCCCTTTTCGGCTGTCTTGATGTTCAGCGCCAGGGAGATTGCGCCGCCAACGAGGGGCCCCATTTGTCGAATGCCCATCCATATTCCGACATATCTGGGTGACGTTTTGTCAGTCGGCTGCTATCAACGTGTTAAAAGAGCACGGGTGTAGAGAACTTACCGGCCTCTCTTCTCCGCCTCGGGATAGCCAACTGCAATGGCTGCCTCACTCGCCCACAACAGCGATGCTCCAATGCCACAAAGCCCGGCACCAAGCAGTAAGAACCACTCGTTACCATACCGGTTGTTGCAGTACAGCCCTGCCGCGTAGGGAGTGTAGAATGCCGCACCGATGAACAGAGTCCATTTCGCTGTAATCTTGTTCGTAATGCCTCCTGCTATGAAACATCCCACAGACATGAGTCCGTATGTAAGAGAGTTGGCGGCATTGTTCAACAGAGGCTATCAGGAATTCTTAGCATGTGAAGCACAACCCATCAGACGATGAAACTTACGGATGCGTTCCCGCCAGCCCCGAGATTGTTCAGTGCTGTCCATATTCCCGGCTCACAAAAAGCCACAATCCCAACAATGATGATCTGAAAAAGACACGATCGGTAAATCTGGCTCAATCGCTCCAAAGCCATGATGATTTTACTTTCCAGCGATTTCGATAGAAGGCACAGATATCAAGATCACTCATGGGAAGATTGAGAACGTATCCGGCACTTCTACTTCGTAGCAGCTAGCTGAGTTTAACACCCTCGAGCACCTTCAGGTTGGCAAGCACGTCAGGCTCCATAAGGAATTCGGAATTTCAGAGTTTGCATCAGAACTGCAAAGTTATGGGCAAATTAAGATAACAAGAGCAGCACGCAATTGTGAAAGTGGGCGTGGTAAGTCGCTTCAAAATATCATGCTTCAATTCCCCGGCGCAACGTAGGATCAGAGGTGGACGCAGTCAAGCAGGGCTGGCATTAACCGTGACGATAGGACCCGCATCAAGACTGCCGAAGTTGACCCCGAAGTTTCGATAAGTTGAATTGGCCAACTGGAAGCCACGAGCTGCAGACATCGGGTATGAGTTCAAGGTAACAAGCGTGGGAATCCATGATCACGCCATGCCCCACGCAGATGGTGTTGGCGATAGAAGTCAACTAATCACATTGCTGACTTTAACTCCGCTACCTTACAAGACAGAAGATGTACCATGCTTCCCATGAAATACTCTCAATGCTTCCAGCTTTTTATTACAAATTATACTTGATAAATCCCATCTGCATGATTAGAAGATTCTCGAGGCAAGCATCGAGATCATTAAAAACTGCATGTCTAGCTTCAAAAGTCTGTTTACAGAGAGCTTATGTTTCTCCTGGAACGTTCTCAGACAAGCCACACAAGATACGAAACAGTTTTCAACGGTGTGAACGCTCCCTAACTGCCTACCCTCAGCTGGCACTCTGCAATATCTCTGGAGCCTTTGAGCAGCGCTGTGCTTAGAAGCCGAGTCAATTACTGACTATACTCTTGGACTCATGAGAGGCGAAATCGATTGTATACGTCAGAATGGACTCCTGAAAATATCTTCCTCAGGATGGAAAAATGACGATTCCTGATTGGTATATGAACATCAGGAAGGTCATTGCAGAGATCCCCAAAGCTGGATTGGTTGGCCCATAATTGTAGCTCCGATGTAAGATATCTGCTCATCGGAAGCGAGGCCGTGGAGTTTTGAGATTAAGATAACAATAGAACGTGGTATCGAGATTTGCACCAGCTAATTGCATCACCTAGCCTGACCTGCGAGGGCAGGGACGGTAATAGATGTTGCAGGTATGACCATTGTGGCTTGTGGCTAAGCACGTCTCAGTTGAGCGCTGGAATGGTGAGGCTGGGGCAGTGGTGGCGTAGCAGACTGATCCATTGATTAGATAAGCGAACACTCCTCGCCCGTCTGTGGGCATTTTCAACTGTAGCTGAGAACCCCCAACCAGCTGAACCAATGAACCTCATATAATTACTGTGCCTCAGTTCGTAGTTGCAAGTGAACCTTTTCCGGCCAACTCTCTCTCTTATCCGGTGAATCATAGCAAGCATAAGGCTGATGCAGACTGTAGTTCTGATCAATCTGCACCATGCGTCCTGAACCCTGGTCATCCTGACTTTTGATAGTCGGCCAGGGACGGCAGAAAGGAATTTATCTAGTCTTGGAAATCAATCAGAGAAGTACCTCCAAATTCCGGGCATATCACGAAAACGGAGCACAAAAGTGACATATCATGGATAATTCAAGACAAGGCCCTAAGACTCAGAAAGTGTATGGTGTCGCCAACTGGAACTTGAACAACGTCTTCTTTTGCTTGGTAGGTGAGATATCGGGGCTCAGATTGAGTTGTCTTGACGGACTAGATCACATTGTTCTTTCTTGCTTGCAGGTGGGTAAAGATGCCGGATCATGTCAGTTTTCATTGAATAAGCCTGCCTCTACTTTGCCGTCATCGTTGCCTTTCTTCACATTCCTACCTATGGTCACCTCAAGGTCTACAATCTACTAGAAGGTTGTATCTCAACATAAGCCTTTCTTTCCTCCTCTTGACTTTTCACCGAAATTCTTTGCATCAAGTCCAACCCTTTTTTTCTTTACTGCAATGTCAATACCGTTGGATCCAATGGAACGTCAAGTGCATTGGAACTCTCAAGGAACGCTCCACCTCAAAGTACCTCAAGGAATCTGGTACCTTAGGCAGCGACTACAGGTTCCCGATGGCAACTGTAATGGAAGAAACTCGAGAATGTTGGAAGGACCGCGCCTGCCTACTTTTTTGCCCGGAATGCACCTTCCCACTTCGAGTTTTCGTCAGTCGCCTCGAGATTCAAGACCCACCTTTGTCTCTTCCGCCTCAAACGCTGGTTATTCCTCCTTGCGGTGCTGTATATCCATCTCGACTTTTTTTTCACCCTCTTGTTTTTCTCCCCCATCTCTCAAACTCCTTCTCTACCTTAGAGTATCTCTCTACTCAACACGCCTCAACGTATCTCACATCATTCTTTCCGAGAGAACCCGCCGTCCTCACATTCGTCCAAGAAGTCCCCGATATCAAGTGAAGCACCACCCTATTGCGACTTAGTGGAATATTCCGGCCACCATGGACCCCTTGCTGGTGGAATCGCCAGCGGCCGTCCATGGTGCGCTTTTCAGCCACCTGGCCATGCCAGCCAAACTCCCACAGCAGCGAGACCCAGAGAAACAAATCCAGCTCATCGAGTCTGAACTCGTTCAGCGTTTGGCAGCCGCCGCCAAGATCATGAGCGAATTGCCTGGAAACGCTGATCAATGCCGCGATGTCTGGGACTCAGTTGGCAAAACACTCGGTGCCTGCCAGCATCTCAACGCAGCCGGGCGAATTGACAAGGCAATTCTTCTCCGAGAACTGCACGACCTGGGCCCGTCGGGCTGCATTGTTCTGCACATCGAGAAACAGAATGCTGGTCTCATCATCCGTCGAGCACAAGAGTGAGTTTTCCTTCACTCTGAAAAACCATCGTCTTCACAAGTTCATGGGCCGCTGACAAGTTTCCTCTTCAGTCCCAAATTCAACGACAGTGTCGTCTTCGAGGCCTTCGAAGCGTCTGCCAAGAATGAACAGGTCTTAGCCACCGAGGGCGCTCTGCTCTGGGACTTCCCCGGGATCGCGGTCGCCATCCCGTTCACGACCTTCGCCGATCAGCACTTTCAATCAAGCTTAGCCACATTCATTGAGCAGGCGTCGCTGGAAACCGTCAAGGACTTCGCTGCTCACGCCTTCAAGGCCGGCACTAGTGTCTTCGAGTATCGCAACACCGGTGACCCTTCCATCATCACCTCTCTACTCATGGCAATTCTTGAAGAAAATGGCCGCCGGGTTGCCCCAGTCCTTCTCAGGAAGCGTGTTCGCGACGACATTTGCTGGGATCACGCCAAAAGGCCATGGCGCAGACTACCTTACTATCTCATCCTCCGCGTCTGTATCGAGAGATTCCTCTGCGTCTCGTTGAGTCCGGAGCAAGGTCGTCTTGAGTACAAGTTCTTCATGTGTGTCCTTTTGTCAACGTTTCTCGACGCCACAATCACCTTCCAAGCCAGCGCTGAAAATGTTCACTTTCTCAAAAAGAAAATCTGCCGTCGGCTCGTCAAAGTTGACCTGGATAGAAGCCGCTCCCAGGATCGTGTCGCCGTCTCGAGGTACGACTTTCTCTTCAATCGTCTCAATCCCACCTTCACCGCAACCATCGACAAGTGTTCCTACTTTCTCCATCGTGCGATTACACAGACGAGAAAGAGCTTGACTAAACAAATCCCCACGCTTCCACGGAAAGCCCCTTTCGTGGACATGCAGCTTGGTCTCAGGGCCAGCTATGAGTACATCAAAAAGGTCATCCTCAGCAACAAAGCGCCACGCAGAAGACGACGATATCGGGAAATTCCGGGCGAAGGTCCAGTTGAAGCACCCAGAGACCATCTCAGTCATTATGCACAGCGCTATCATAAGCTGATCAACACCGAGACGGAGCTCCTTGCATCGACAAAAGATTCCTGCACACAGATTTCTGAGCAAATCTTTGACTACATCCATACAGCGGCTCCTCTGTACGAGGGCAACGCAGAACAAAACAGCCAGATGCTTCTGACAGTCATGGAGTTGTGCATCAAGATGGATTCGATTGCTTGCGCTTCATTCCCCCTGCTGATAGACTTTCACCCAATGTTCTACCCACAAATGCTAGATGTTCTCCTTCTGCCTCAGCTTGAGGATATGAGGCGCCTCGGCATGCTCCAAGATCTTCTGTCAGCTCGCGTGAAAAACGCTAGTGCCAGCCGCCGCAACATCTTTGAGGACCCATCCCCGGGTTGCTTTGCTGAGCGGTACTACAAGGAATCAAGTGAGGGGTCGGTCTTAAAAGACTTGCACGGAGCAATCATTGAATTAGCCAGCAATATGCGCGATCAGAAACAACGGGAGTGGAAAAAGAAAAGCAAGGAATATGACGAATTGATCAGCCGCATTGATATCAGCGCCTGCACTTACATCTTCGACGAGCACAATCCCCAGGGCCGGGGGTATCATGACCGCAACTGTTCGAGATGTTCCATGATGGAGAAAGCTCAAAGCATGCGCATTAATATATTCGAAGACCCCCTGCCTAGTGATCCTGTCGTTGCACGAGCGGTTATTTTCGAATTAGTTTGTCCAAAGGAGTTTGCGGCATATCGAGACACGACATGGTGGCTTCTTCGACATCTCGCGACTCACTTCGATGACCAAGGTATTTTACCTCGGTGTCTTCTGAGAGACTATCTCCAGCTGAAGTCTTTTTGGAGGCCGAGTCAGCACAAGCTTGGCTTAGCCTCGACTACAAAGCCTTGTAAGTTTCCACTATAACTTGAAATCTACAGCCCTTTTTCGCGTACCGATCGGCTTGCCGCCTTCTGTACCTATTTCGAGCTACAGCAAATGTCTAACCATCTGACCCTACAGTCCATGTAACTCATTACACTTCGATGCCGTTTCCAGTTGAATGGGAAGGAGGACGTGATGGTGTATGCCGCCCAAACGCTCTGAAGCTCGGATACTTTGACGAATCGACCTCAACATGGCCCGGCCGTGTCAGATTCCGACCTTTATTCGACCACCAAGTTGCTCTGACCCTGTCAAAGAGCTCGCCGTGGAGTACGCTGCTGGAGACAAAGGCTTACTCGTTGAGTGGTCCAGGTCCATCGTCCTACGAAGTTGTTGCCAGCCAGTCAAGCTGCCCTCCAGGGATTAACAACCACGAATATCTGGCCATGCAAACGCTCATGACTGGAGAATCCCAACGCTGGATTGTGTTGCTCACAGAACTGGCTTCAACAAACCTGAACTTCTCAAGCGAAGTCACGATGCTTCTGGTGACCCATCTTGCCCTTCAAAGCGGCCCACAAGATACCTCGGGCGACTTTCTTCGAGCCACTCACACCATCTTTCGAGATGAGTCGTTCTGCAAGAGACTATTGGAGCAGATTCAGACGCGACTAGAAACTGTGCAAGCCAATTGGCGCGAAACGTACCAAATGGACATTCTGATTACACTTCTGCTCCGGACATTCGCGTTGACAACCACAAGCCCCGACCAAAAGGGATTTTCAAGCATTATTCGAGCTCGCGAAATCTGCTTGCGATGGGTTGAAATGCTTCGCTTTGAGACATTCCGAGCAAGGGATGCTGAAACAGCCCGCAGGTGCCAACAGTACGCTCTTTGGGCAGCGGTTCTTTGCAAGCGCACGTACGTCATTCACGCGAACCAGGTTGCGAATCTTGATTCGCTTTCGTTGCGGACGTACATCGAGTGTTGCATTACAGTCCAGGATAACTTGGTTGTTGACGTTGGCGCACTGCCTCAAGTTCTCCAACACGCTGTCGTTTCGGACATGAAGCTATCATATCGTCTATCACCAATGGTTCGCAAGTCTATTGCTTCTGCACCTGACATGTTTAGGATCGCAATTATGACAGTGTGGCCTGAAGCCGACGGCCATTCTCGTACGATTTCGTCTCTCCAACTCGAGTCAGAATGGGTTATCTGCGAGATCCAAGGCCATGATGGTTGGGAAGAGCGCATGCAGACTGTTCAGTACAACATTTGCACTGGGTTGCTCCTCGTCGACAACCGTCCTCTTGGAGTATGTGTTCGTTGACTGGAAATCAGCTAGTGAGATAGGCTAACTCATTGATAGAAACTCCCCAAGCCACCTGAACATACAGAAGTACTCACGGAACTTTTCGGGGAGCAGGCTTTGCTTACTCGCCCTTCGGACATGCCTGGCATGGACTACAGTGAGCCTCATTTCCAAGAAAGTGTGAGATTGTTTTGACCGACCCGAGTACCAGCATTGACTGTCAAACATCATGGATATCGCATCGACATTGGATATGACGGCAGTTCAATTGTCATTCGGGCAACTAAAGGACAGCAGTACCTTCAATTGATACAGAGAAGCAAGTTCAAATCGCGAGACGCATGGGATCTACCCGGCCCTCTTCTGAATGATTGCGTTCACTGGCTGTAAGTTTTTGAATAATAATGTGCGGATTGGGACTTCGGCTAACTTCTCAAATCAAACAAAATGGGACCTACGGAGTGGAAAGGTGCTCATCACCCCGAACGCCGACAAATGGAACATTGGCCACCATAACTGGATTCTCGATGTTCAATATCGTAGCTGTACGAACAAGAGTTCTCGGCTTGTCGATACGTATAGTTCCCTGTTCGCCCGTATCGCTGACATTTTCGGTGGCTTTGAAGAACGCCTGAACCTCCTTGTGTTCCAGCCGCATTCAGGACATTTGAGCGTAGAGATCCGCCGGCTACAACTTCTCTTCTGCGTCAACACCTGCCGCCTGCTCCAATCACCTCAATTAGGATCTGAAATTGACTCAGACCAAGATGCGGGCACTTGGTACGGCCTTGAAAGCAAGCTGGTTTTGCGGAACCCACGCGATATCCAGCAGAGAAGCATCTTGACACCAGTTGGTGCAGTGGAAGCGAAACAAAATAATAACAACATGGTAGTGAGAGTGCCTCCCAGTGGAGAGTACGGCAAGTTTGTCATCAACAGACATCTCGGACGGATCGAATCAGCTCCAGAGCCAATGCTTCTCTATATGAAGGCACAGCTGCACGCATATACGTCTTCGTCGTTCCCGGACCCTCTCACTGAACGGACTGGGACTGAAGAGGCATTACAATGGCTAAGATCTGGGATCTGTCAACCCTGGTCTCCCCTTCACAGTGGACCAATCAAAGTACTACTCAAGATCGCGCAACTCACTCCACAGCATGAGTATTATCCGACCGATCTCAAAGTCATGAAAACGGATCGCTGGGATGTAAGCTTGACCGAAGGCGTACAGCATGAAATGTTCAGACCTATTGTTGAACAGATCTTGTCAATTTCGGCAGAGCTTCAATCCTTTGCGCTCGTTGATGTCAACTTCGGCGTATTGCCACCCGCTGGCGACCTTCACCTGCATACTCGGGCCCGGCTTCGCAGGCAGATATATGAGCGGTCTTTCGATAATAGCACAGATATTACGAAGGCCGTCGACTGCAAGTACCAGTCGCGCGATGTCCCAGCATCTTCTAACCAGCGTCACTTGCAAGTTCTGGAGATTGTCAACTTTCTCCGAACTTGGCCACACAAGGCGATGACGACGCGGTGCCTGGCACAGCAGCTTTCTCAAAACAATCTGATCGGTGGCTTTCAAGAACTCTGCGAGAAGAACTCACTGAACGACCGCCTGGGCATTGACATTGCGGCAAACTGGGGCTCCTTAGTCAAGTCTTGCCGGGAACAAGAAAATCCCTTTGTGCTGATGTTCATGCTGGCACCCATTTCGTACGGCTCGAAAGCCGATTTGAGTCTTATCAAGACTTTAGCGGCTTTTGCAGTTTACGAGGAATTGAAAGCTGTCGAGCTACCTGTTTGGGTCGAGTATCGAGACTTCCAATCCAACCACGCCCCTCAGCTAGACAATCTCATTGAAGCGATTGGACCGTTCAAGACTCCAGCCCCCAAGAATGATGCTGACGAACTCAAAAGCTTTGCCAGTGCCAAACAGCTTCGACGTATGAGAGACGAGACAGCAGCCTGGGATCTCAAGGCCAATGATGATTGCAGGTTCTTGGCGAAGTACTTACTTGAGCAGTGGCCTTGCATCGAGCCCGGCGTTGCAGACATATCCAAGCCTTTGCAGGTCGACATCGAAGCTGCTTTGAGTGTGGTCCGAGTGGGATGGAAGCACCTCTACCAAAACAAGGACTTGTGTGCACACTTGAACACTGTTCAGTCTATTCTGGATCAACACCAAAGTGAGACAAATTATGAGGCCTCGCGCTTCATTGCATCAGAAGAGAGCTTTGGAGACCGCTTGCGTGGTGGTGAGATCCCTTCACTGAGGTCTGACTTGTTGCGAAAGACAGTTCCGAGTCCTCACAACGGTGGAAAGACCAACTTCAGAGAAGATATCAAGGTCCAGATCGTTAATCCTAGGGCTGGCCGCCTTGTCGAACCATCCCGCCATCCAGTGCACATTCGCCAACCAATCAAGCTTCCACTCTCAGCAACCCGAAGTCTTGGGACGAACGTTCTAGCACCGAGCTGGATGTCCGTGAAGACGACTCTGCTTCCTTCCACCGGTGCCATCGCCGAGCTGAAAAAGATTGTGTCGAACCTGTCCAACTCGAAGTCGCTGGTCCGTCAAAAATACGCGGAAGACCTGGAGAAGAGTCTGGACGCTTTTGTTTCCAGGCATGCCTCTAAACACACCAGAGACGATATGCCACCAGATTTTGTTTCTCGAGAAGTTTCTTTGTCGCTTCTTTCGACCCAACGACGTTACAAGGCTATTGCTCTTGCTCTAGAGAAACCTGACGAGAATCTCTCTGCTGAAAGCGTGCATTGGCTCAAGGCCGGCCAGCTTTGGCCTGCGATCACTACGGTGACCTTGTTGGAACAGCTCCGGTCGACAGCCACGCCCGTTCAGTTCGGCAACTCGGTGTTCCAGACATTGCTGGACTTTGGTATCTCGATCACAAACGCTCAGCGAGATCTCCGTATTAACCATGCTATTATGCGTGGCGATGCTGGACGATACGCAGACGAGATGGCAAACAAGGGCCACTCGAACTGGCAGCCATCCGAGCATCCTGATTGGCTACTTCTCGAAATCGAAGCAAACTTGATGATACGACCCGACCAGGTTGACGTCGCCTTGGCTACAGTATCTCCGGCTTCTGGTTGTAATTCTGTTTTGCAGATGAACATGGGGCAAGGTCAGTTGTACCAACAACCCTGCTTACTCACTTTCTCTTACAATGCTGATGGCTAATGATGAACAGGCAAAACATCTTGCATCATACCCATGGTGGCTGCTGCACTGGCAGATACCAAAACCCTTGTAAGGGTAGTGGTCCCAAAAGCTCTTCTGCTACAAACGGCTCAGCTCCTTGAGGCACGACTCGGCGGTCTTCTCAATCGACAAGTCCGGCACATTCCGTTCTCCTGTCGAACCCCTACACAGGAAAACCTCATTCGAGCATACCATAAAGTGCACAGAACTATAATGAAGCAAGCCGGGGTCATGGTATGCCAGCCGGAGCACAACCTGTCCTTCATGTTGAGCGGCCTGCAGCGGATGGTAGACAACAGGATGCCGGAAGCTGGGCCAATGATCAATGTTCAGTCGTGGCTACGCACTCGATGCCGCGACATCTTGGATGAGTCTGATTACACATTAGCTGTGAGAACACAGCTGATCAACCCCTCCGGCTCACAGATGACTGTCGATGGGCATCCTCATCGTTGGCAAGTGGCTCAAGACCTCTTGCGACTCGTTGACAGGCATCTATACACCCTAGCCCACCAGTTTCCGAACTCAATCGAAGTCATTCGACGATCCGGGGGAGGCTTCCCATTACTCTTCTTCTTACGAACGGACGTTGAGGAGGCTCTTGTCAAGCTCCTTACTTCAGATGTGTTACGGGGTGATGCTGGGATTCTTCAGTTGCAGAACCTAGACGCTGTCGACCGACTTGCTGTTAGGGAGTTTTTGCTCAATGAAAGACCCCGGGATGCAACACTTCAGCGTATTCGTCATTTGTGCCCGGACCGGCCCAGCGTCAAGCAGACCGTTTACCTGCTTCGGGGTATCTTGGTCAACCGCATCTTAATGATGACTCTGAAGAAGAGATGGAATGTTCAGTATGGGCTACATCCACTCCGAGACCCCATTGCGGTGCCTTACCACGCCAAAGGCGTCCCCAGCGAGCAGTCTGAGTGGGGACACCCAGACGTCGCCATCTTATTCACATGTCTGGCATTTTACTACGACGGCATCAGCGTCGCTCAACTGACCCAATCCCTTGAGCATCTTCTCAAGTGCGATGATCCAACCTCTGAATACGATAAGTGGACTCGAAGCAGTGCAAGATTCCCTGAGCACCTCAAAGCCTGGAACTCGATCAATGTCGATGATGGTCAGCAACTTGGTGAGATATGGATAGCTCTGCGGTACAACATTGCGGCGATTGATTACTTCATGAATAACTTCGTTTTTCCTCAGCATGCGCAACAGTTCAGAGTCAAGCTCCAATCAAATGGTTGGGATATCCCTCTCTTCTCAGTGCATGACACCGATCAGTCGACGCAAGCAGAGCAAACTGGACAGAGACAACCTACTTCGTCATCGGCCATGACAACCGGGTTCAGTGGCACAAACGACAATCGTACAATGCTTCCGCTCACTATCACGCAGGATGATCTTCCTGGGCTTTCACATACCAATGCAGAAGTTCTCACATACCTATTGCACGACCGGTCTCGAGAGTGCCACAGGGTTGTCGGACCCCGTGGGGCGCGTGCATCCGAGCCCGATCTATTGAGAGAGCTTCATCGTCGTGGCATCAGAATTTTGATCGATGCTGGCGCCCAGATACTGGAGATGGACAACGAGACCCTAGCTAAGCAGTGGTTAACGATCGACGAGAAAGCTGCCGCGGCCTTGTTCTTTGACCAAAGCAACATGCCATGGATCATCCAGCGAAGTGGTAGAAAGACGCCGCTCCTCGCATCCCCTTACGCTGATGACCTCGGCGAATGCTTGGTGTATTTGGATGAGGTAATTCCAAGATTGCGCATTCTGGGATGGGGTTGCTGATCACGACACAGGCTCATACGAGAGGTACAGACCTCAAGTTCCCTCCATCAGCACGGGGTGCGTTGACTCTGGGACTGAATCAAAGCAAAGACCATACAGTTCAAGGTGAGCAGCTAATACAGGACTACTTCAACGCAATGTCTCTCCTGAACATTGGACTTACAAGACCATTAACAGCTGCTATGCGAATGAGACAACTGGGCACAACTCAATCCGTGACTTTTTTCGCTCCCCCAGAAGTGTACCAGAGCATTGTTGATCTCCACTGCAAGCCGCATGGGGCCACTGTGAATTCCAGCGATGTGTAAGTCATGACTGGCCAAGTCCAATGATGTTGCTAACCCATTTTTAGGATTTTCTGGCTCTTGGACAACACTTGCAATGGTATTGAGCAGTTACAGCCACTTTACTATTCCCAGGGCATGGACTTCTGTCGCCGAATGCAGGCTGCGATTGACAACCCAGATTTTGTCAAAGATAAGCACCAGCGGGAAAACTATCTTGGGACGATCAAGCAAGACGAGCAACACAGTCTTCAGAAGCTCTACGAGCCGAAACGAAAGATCAAGGGAACTGGAGAATTCCAGGCTGGATCAGACGCGAAGATCAGGGCCTTTGTTAAGGAACTGAACAAGAGGCGAAAGGCATTCCAAGACACTGGTGGGGCTGTCCATGCATCCGCTCTCCAGGAAGTTGAACAAGAACGAGAAGTGGCCTTCGAGGTTGAAACAGTTCGTCAAGTCAAGAAGCCGTATCATTATCCAGCCTTGGCTTTCCCTGGGCTGCACCCAGAAGTCGAGTCCTTCGCCACGACAGGAAGAATACCCGCTGGCGCCCACACCTTTGTCCCTGCCATCAAATCCTTGTCCAAGACTGCGATAGGCAAGAAGTTCAAGGTTTCGGACCGACCCTCGCGTTCCAATCTCTACGTTACTACGGAATTCGAGCGGACAGTCAAGCTAAACTTCGATCTGACGAGCGACAATTTCCTGGTAAGTCACAACCTTTTTTTGGAAGTTTCTGTACTATCACGGGCCACTGCTAACAAATGGCTAGCGCAATGTGAACTGGATACTATGGAGCCGTAAGACCGAAGTGGCCTTGATCGTTATACCGGAAGAGGCGGAAATACTCTTGTCCATTCTCAAGGATCCAGCCTTTCACTGCGCGACAAACTTGATTACCTACGCGGCGCCAGTTACCCGGAAGATGCTCCATTTCAGCGACCTCAACTTTTTCAGTGTCCCTTCACTCCCTCTTGGTTGGAAGGCCCCAGATTGGCTGAAGATCGAGCTGGGAATCTACGGCGGCCGGCTATATTTTGAGTGGGCCGAGTACGACCAGCTCTGCGAATTTCTTGGCATCGATTAGTCACTGCCGTTGTTAGAGTATCTCGATCAGGAAGGTTCAGACAGTGACTCTGCCGATACGCAGAGCGGCGAAAAGCACAAGGTGTATGTGTCGCCTAACGGCCTTACTGCGCGGCCCCTGTCTTTTGTGCAAGAGTGGCTTGCTGCGCGCCGTCGCGGTCAAGACTTCATGTCGACCCCAATGGGTTTCATTGCGCAGGGCAAGACTCTTCAGGAGGATGACCCATTCTTCCGACAAGTCGTCATCGAGAATCGAGACAAGCTGTTTGCTCCTATTCAAAGCAAGGGGGATGACGAAGAGGACAACGGCGATCATCACGTTGACCTATTTGCTGTGGATGGCATGGGTGCCAATGAAGAGGATGATAGCGATGCACACGAGGACGAGATTGAGTACAACGATTCGGAGATTGGAAGCGAAGTCGAGGAGGACTGATTGGTCTTATTGGTCACATCTGAGCTGATGATGCTGATCCGTTGTTGGGTTTCGAGATTTGTTGGTATGGGCCATGTTTGTGTGAGAATAGCTCGTTTACGGCCTGGAGTGCCTTTTGCTTGTCAGATACCCCTTGCCCAATTGCTCAGATAGCTAGCTAGTCAATTTCCCCTTTACTGAACCTGCAGCTCGTAATCTCCATTTTCTGTGAAAGTGAGGGAACTTGAGAGCGATCATTACCATGCGAACGGCCTCACTCCCGTTGCAAACACCTTATCGCTCGAGCTGATTATCGATAAGCTCGAACCGAAATGGCGTTGACGATAACGCCCCGGGCTTATCCCAAACGGGGCAAAGTCGTAATTACCTTAGTGATTGACCGGGTCACGTGGATCACATGATGGACAGAATTATTACCTAAGCCCAGATTTTTTTTTAAGATTTGGCCCCTTTTTACCCCTGTCACGTCAAACGACCGCCGCCACGGCTACCTGAACGAACCGTTAAGTTTTGCCGCTGACTTTTGCTGCCTTTTGCATGAGCCTGCCTCACTCTGCGCCCCTCGCGTCCCGCGTCCCGCGTCCGTCTCGCAGGGTCCTGGATAAAGGGTTCGTTCGTTCTCTCATCTGATGGCTGGGGAGGGGGGGGGGAGGCAAAAAAAAGAGGGATTGATTACGGAACACATCTTTGAACGCGTATCCATACTTTCATGACCTTGCTTATCTGAAATTGCCCATTTCTCTTTCTGTAGTTCACAACTTGTTTCATCCTTCTTCCCCGTCTCATCCCCGATTGCCGTTCTGTCTGCTTTTTGTTGCCGCATCCTTTAACGGAGTAATTACCTCGCAATCAATTCTTCCCCATTCATTCCCCCCTCGAACCTGAGGTTGCAGCTGGTCTGACCCTCCGTCCATCCCTCCCTTCCGAAGTCCCGTCCCGTGTTCGCGCGTTGGTGTGCGTGGCCCGCAGGCTGCAGCAAGTTCATGCAACTCAACCCACACTCATTCACCCTTTGGGTCGTGTTTCACTGAAGCAGCAATGAGACTCACTGTCTCAGAGTGTCATTCCACACAGCGTGCCTGATACCTGATACGTACCAATCACTTTACCTACCGTCCACCACATTCACCAGTACCTACACCCCTTCCGTACATAGCCTTGTGTACCATGACGGAATCTCACGATACTCAGACTGGCGGCAGCAACAACAACTACAGTGTCGCCGTAATGGACGCCGCCGTCGCGAAACCCTCTCACGGCGCCAGGCGGCACAAGCCCTCCGCCTCCTTGGGCTCCTTGTACGAAGTCCTCGCCGACCTCGACGACAACCAGCTCCAGTACCTCATCCAGGAGATGAACCATACTGGTCACCAAAATGTTCCCGTGTCCCAGGCCGTCTCGACGTTCGAGGCCCTGAAATCATCCTCCTCCCCCGCTGACCCCTTTGCCGTCTCGGAAACGGGTCTCTACGCGCCCGCGCCCGACTCGCCGGCTCGGGAACCTCTGCGTAATCTATCAAAGTCGCGTCGGGGAAGGCTCTCTCTGCAGACGGCCTTTCAGAGGGCCCCGTCATTGAAGCATAGGCAGCAGCAGCAGCAGCAGTCAAATTTGGACAACCCTAGAGATGGCTACCTCAACCGCAGCAGCACCTTCTCCCAAGGCCCCGAACCAGCTCAGAGTCACCGGCCCGCCAAAGGGTACGGTGAATTGCTCTCAAGTCCCGTCAGCAGCTGCTCTTCGCCAGCCGGCGGCCCCGTTGTCATGAACGGGCTGCCCGAACTGGCAACGGTTACGCGGCCCACGCGGTACCATGAGCTCGAGGTACCTCAACCCGCTAGCCAACCACTTCCATCACCACCGCCATCAGCATCATCATATCTTGAACATCAACCAACACCGCCACCGCCACCGCAGCCCCAAGTTCAACAGCGTCGGCCGTCTACCAACGGAGCCCGAATGGGACCACCCGCTTACCACCGAATCCCTCGCCCAGACTTCAACCTTCCCGAAGGTGTCACGGTCACTGACCTTCTCCACCTACTCGAAATTGAGTACATGTCCTCGAATCGGCAGGCATCCTCTTCCTCGCGCAGGTCTTCCTCCTCCTCCACTTCATCGTCCATCTCCCGGCCTTCCTTTTCTTCGCCCTCGCCGTCGTCGCCGGCATTGGCCACTCGCCTCTTCCCCCCACCATCAAGGTCATTCTCACAGACGCCAAATCTGCATGGTCGCTCCCCTCTGCGGAGGTCCTCTTCAAGGCTAGACCTTGCCCTTGGTGCAGAGCGGTCGGCTTCTGGTGCCGCCGAGATCGGAATGGGTATGCTCGAACCCAGACAGCTGAGATCAGTCTCGCTCGGTTTCCCGGGCGGTGGTATGGCCACCACCATGTCCATGGACTCAATGAGCCGGAGTCTGAAGGGCGAGACACGGCCTCCCGCGCCAGCGCCAGTCTTTGAAGGAATCTTTGACGTTTTGGAGAATCAGTAGTCTGCATCTCGGCTACAAATGGAGACAAGAAGGCAACTCAGGTGGGCGTTCGTTCCTTGCCGCGCCCGAATAGCCCGGCTTCAGCAGGTGTCGGCAGCAATGCTTCATGTAGGCAGAGTGAGGGACGATGCAACAGGGCCATCGTGAAGTATAACAGAGGCAGCACAATGAAAGATGAGTCATGGTCCGCATGGCACGAGGTGGCTAGTCCGAGTTGCTTGGTCAACCTATAGCCCGCAAGCCGCTGTTCTCTCCCGGGGCCATTACTATGAGCCACCAGTATTGGTTCGTTTGATTTCATCTGCACGATACCAGCTGATCACGGCCAATGCTTTTAGGAGCACTGCCGAGTGAAGAATTTGAGAACAATGTAATAAGCAAGCGCTACGATACCCAGAATGTACTGAAAGAATAATACAACGGTCGCTAATGCGGACTTGCAAACGCGCCATGTCGAAACCAACTTGACTGTGACAAAAACACCCATCGTGATCGTTGTGAGGATAGTGGGAATTCCTCTGGAATTCTGAATGGAATTCATCCTCATCACCTCGACAACTCAGTCGCTGGCACATGGAGTCCAGACACGCTTACATGCAGATTGAGCATGGGGCCCATATATAGCTCGCAGAAGTATCAGGCTGGTGTTGCAGGTGGCTAACGAGGAGGGATCGCTGACCAGGATACATTAGTAGTCAGCCAGCAGACAAGTACGATGCGACATCAGAAGGCTGTAAGTGATCAACTTACTGTCTGCATCATCCCACCGGCGGAATAGTCCGGCGATCTGGTCCCGAATCCGGATTCTGGGGAGCCTTCTTGGTCGGACTGTCAAGACATTGAGGCGGTTCCTGTATTGGAGATTGCCGTGTTTGACACTCGACGGAGCACGCTTCCACCATTCATCGGTAGCGGGTCGCGGGACATGTTTCCCAGCCCGACGGGCAGCCCAGCGGGCTTTCAAGGATGCCCATCGGTAACGAAGCCAGTATTCACGGAGGAGTTGAGGATAATAGGTTCTCATCCAGACCTCGTCCACATTTCCGGCATTCCGGTCGTTCTCTCCTTCGTATTGAATACGTAAGATGACTCGGTTATGCTCGCCAATATGGTGCCCCAGGACATTGATGACCTTTGCTGTTGATTTATTCCAAGGAAGGATCTCTTGGCGATCAAAGAGATCAAAGTAACTGGTCCAGGCATCGGGATCACCAAGCTGAACCATGTATTCGGGAGCCCAAATGTCTCGCAATTCGCCATCTGAACTCTCGGGTTTCTCCTAAAGTGTTCGAAGCTGAAGTCTGGTTGCATCTTTGGGATCGAGTCTGTGGGCAGTGACTCCAAGATGTTGCCACTTCCGTTGAGTTCCGTGGGGCACAAGCTTTACTTCTCCTCCACTATCGAAGAGTGACGGCTTGAAGGCAAGTACCTGTTCGGGGACGTGGTTAATCGGCGGTTGCGTGTAAGTCGGTGGGTCTAGATGATGCATCGTCTCAGCACAACTTGACTATAATGAGAAAGAAGAGAAAGAGCGAATGATGGCATACATGTGAGAATCATTCCAATTTCTGGCTTTTCGAGGTTCATGTGCCACCCGTCCAGCGGTCTGTCACTAGAGTGCGCAAGACGTGTTAGCGAGAGGGGGTAACGTGTGGGAAGCCGGCAAGACTAAAAGCAATGAACTCACACAATGCGGGGCACTCCAACAGCAGTGAGCAGACGATCGGTCATGGTGGTGATGAAGTCCATGGCCAATGCTGTAGCCGTCCGAAGACTTAGTTGGCTCGTGAACAAGGTCGGTCGCCAGTGTGAGTAATCGTAAAGGGAGCCGTGGCTGTCTGGCCTGCAGTACTCGGACGGGCAACCGAAAATTGGGGAATTGAGCGACTGAAAGTAATGCCTGAAACGCGTTGCTTCTTATCCGGGTTAATCAATTGCTGAAGTGCCAAAAGAGATGCGTGTATTGAAGACATGTAGCTGTTGATGAATGATGCCGATCTGTTCTGCCTTGACGACGGAGGTTGTGGAAGAAGAACCAGGAAGAAGCGCGAGGAAAGGAGAAAAGAGGAACAGCCAGAGAATCGCACGGAAGAGAACCTCCAATCATCGAAACGTCAATCCAACGCACCTTCCCTTGTGCGTTGGAGAGTGGCCATGAGGTGGTTGCCCCAAAACACATGAGAGAAATGTGGTAAGAGCAACCCAGCACCTGCAGGCACATGTACTTTACTCAAGGTAAGTCCAACCTCGAGTGGCTACCTGTGTTCATTCCCACCACGCACCATCTCTTAATTTCGATTTCGTTGCCTGGCTGAGATACCTCACGCCTAACCTCGTCTTCGTCATAATTGTTGTTCTCCTTCTACGTGAGGCGACAAAGCGTAGATGTAGCCCCCATCAAATGAGGCTTCCGGCTTTTGTGTCACGTATTGACTTCGCATTACAGGAAAATGAATATCAGACATAGCTAACCTAGAGGCGTCTGCAAAAAGCAATTTGCGGTAGTCGTTGAAGAAAGTCACAGCACCTCTTGGTTCATCTGAGCTCAGCGTGTTCTACTCTCCATTCTCCCCCAAGTTGAGCCTTAGGCAGTCTTTTATCGGGCTCATCTGATCTATCTGTCTCATTTTGCCAGTTTTGGGGCATCTCATGGACCTCTCGAGAATCGCTGGACCTGAGAGTGACACAACCACCACCATCTCATACCGACAGAGAATAGAACTTAGTGCAAACGGTACATGTACTTACTTTTACCTTTCACGTGCCATTACGTAGTTTAATACACAATTAGCGAGCTTCAAGCTGGCCAAATGACTGTTCTGCTGGCATGTTTCAGCACATAAGGTACTGAGCTAACATCTCTGCCATCCACCATTGCTTGACTGCCCTTCTCCGCTTTCCTCATGATTCTGCCAAGCATAAGACTCTCGTTTTATCCATTCAGAACCTGGAACGGACCGGAGATCCGACAAAGAGGATGAGCATCCCTGACCCTTGCTTGCGGCGAGGTATACACGGACGTAGTACCCGTACTGTGTAGATTGGCTGCACCCTACGGTCTACCTCGCCTGCTAGCTTTATCAGGCCCACAACAAAACGGAGGAAACGTGGCAATGTCCATGATGCATCTGAATCAGTAACAAACGAGGTCTCGGAGCTGGCTACGTCTTGATTGAATTGGACAACATTCTCATGGAAATCAATGGCTGTTCCTTTGAGGGTCGAATAGCCATCAGTAGCTTGGCGTGGCTGGCGTTCGGCCACTGATGTTCCAACACCGACCGCGTGACTTGGACATGTCTTGTTGGTGGCGCCAGCGGCGCAGGCCAAAAGAGGAAGCAAACAATTGAAATTGCCACTAACGAGCGCGATTCCAATCACGACCCAATCGTTGGTCGACGTAGGGGCTGGGCTTATCGAAGCGCCCTGACTTTGCAGAGACTGGCGTAAACTTCGCTCCTCCATCTCCAGACCCACGAAGTCATCGTGGCTGAGGACACGGTAATCTTCATCAATTACAACAACTTTCTTGCTCCTATTCGCAACCCTTTATTTACCCATTAGACCAGCCGGCAATTCTGCGGGCTATTTCAATCATTCTGTCGTAAGCGTCGTAAGCGTCGTAAGCGTCAAGCTCTATTGTCCTGCCCCTCGATATCACCGCACCACAGGAAGAAGGAAACTTGCAGAAAACTTGCAATCGAATGTCGGTGTCACTGAAGATGCTTCAAATGCCTTCTTATTCTTTCTGCCCATCAAGAGTCTAATGCGTGATTCTAATCCGTGTTTTAAAGGACGTGTCTAATAATTCCGGGGTACGACAAATTACAAATTCATGATGACCGCCGAAACGCCTACGATAGAACCTATTCCTCTAGCACACATGACGAGTGGCTCCATTATTCCTAGGGAGCGCCAAAGGGAATTTGTCGCAGAAATGGACACAAAAGGCGAAATATTCCGCTCGGAATACCGTCGAGTCAAGCTTCTGATCGAGATGCTGGAGTTCCGAGCGGAAAAGAACAGGTCAATATATCGCGATGTACCAGCCAGACTCCGCGAAGCTCGACAAAAAAAGCGTACCATGAAGAGGATGATGATTGAGGCTCTCCGAAAGCACATAGAGGATGTACGAACTGGAAAGGCAATTTCTGTAGACAAAGAACCTGTCGTGCCAACAAATTCAGCACCAGGAACTGGACAGACGCGGGAATGACGGTGCTCTCCAGGTTGGTTCGACATGGTGTTGCATCAAGCTCAGTTCGAGAGTGTTAATATTATTCCATCGATCAACGTAGTCCCGTAGGCTGGCTAAGTGTCAAGTCTCCTGTGGCAGCAGGCAAGTCCGACCTCAAAAGCCATATTGCGTGTAGGTTGGTACGTTTAACATACTTGGTTCGAGACATATAGAGACCATCAGTCCATACTGGTGCCATAGACAATGAGATCGGGGAAAGAATCATGGGTAAGTATGTGGCTCGTAATGTTACTTCAACCTCGCAAATGAGAGATCCGCCTTGGGAGTCGGAACCATGATAAGCAATGTACTCATGTACTGATACTTGATAGATATTTTCTTGTATTGGGTACGGTCTTGGGTCACAATGAAATGACTTCATGTGTACGACATGTCAAACAACACAGTGTTAAAACTCGCTCGTAACCCAGGATTGGAACATATTGGTGAGCGGGCCAGAATTCTTTCTTGGATAGTCTGCCCCTAAGCCTACTGGTTTCTATCACTAGCATTGCTTTGACTCTTAAGGTCTCTTAGAATTGATGTATTCCATACACGACATGCGTTCAAAAGTCCAGAAACCGAATCACATAATGACGATAGTAGTGAGAGGAAAGGTAGTCACTTATCCCGATAACTAGCAAATCATGAGTTGCATACTGGCTTGAGTTCTAGCTTCAATGATAAATAGGGCTGCTTTTCCCAAGCCCTTCTTAGAAGCGTGGGAAAATGATAACTTTACTAGGAAATTTACTCGGAGACTCTAGAGGAATGAGACAACTCAAGTATTGATGATGTTGCTGCTGACTCGGGAGACAAGAACATGTACCAACGTGAGTGCCGAAGTCTTGGGTGTCACCCCCGCCTTGTCCATCGTCATGCCTAAACTCAAAATTGGAGTACAGTGGATTTCCTGGGGTCCCCGCGAAACGGAAAATGTCACCCGCATGGGGGTTTCTCGGGGTTTCGGCAGAGTCGGAGAACAAGTGTGCCTCAAGTTCCTACCTAAGATACGACTGATTGATGAAATCCGGGGCTTGATAAGAGCGAACCCGTCCGACCCAGAACTTCCTCCGAACCGTTCTCTTTCAAGCCCGCGTGTCTATGGAACCCTCAAGCTTCACTTCAACTACCTGAAAAGCTGCCATTAAGTCGTGACTCCAAATCCCTTCGCCTAGACAACATGGCTGAGCCAACGATTCTCATCATAGGTGGTGGGACATTCGGCACTTCCACGGCCTATCACCTCTCTCGAACCTACACAGACCCCAGTCGCGTGACTGTAGTCGACCGGTGGGCACCGTCTGGCTCTGAAGCAAACAAGGCCGCCGCAATAGACGTTAATCGAATTATCCAAACAAATTACGTGAGACCGCTTTATTGCAACCTTGCTAGCGAAGCTATCCATCCGTGGTTTTGGGATCTCAATCTCGGCCACTTCTTTCACAAAACCGGGTGCGTGACAATCGATGAAAAGAATAATCAATTTTCCGACGCCGTGCGAAAGACACTCAAGCAAAGAGGATCTGACTATACCACCGATGCCGATGTTGAAGATCTCAGAAAGCGATGGAAGCCTTTCAAGGGACTGGAGACAAGTGGGCTGGGAACGGCATTCTTCAATCCAGAAGCTGGATGGTGCGACGCAGCACTGGCAACCCAAAGTCTAATGACCGCGGCGAAACGAAACGGAGTAACAACGATCACTGGTGAAGTGGAACAGCTGTTGCTTGATCCGTTTCTTGGACGGGTACTGGGTGTAAGGATGAAAGGCGGCCAGCAATTGACGGCAGACCGAATCGTCTTGTCAGCAGGTGCTTGGACAAGTAGCTTGCTTGCGCCAATAGAAGCTGAGTTGCGTCTCGCACCTCACGACCGGATCGAGCGGCAGATCACAGCAGTTGGCAGGGTCTCGGCTTATTACGAGCTCTCGGCCGAAGAAACCGAACACATGTGCGGAGCCGGGATGCCTATCATCATCTATAAATCCTGCGGGATTCTCACTCCGCCGTCACGAGAAAACCGAATTATGAAGATCAATGACCTTCAAACCGAGTTTGTCAATCGGGTTACCATATCCGCAGGGCATGTTGTATCTATCCCAGCTGAGAGAGCACAGGACGATGTGCCACAGAAGTTGAAAGATGAAAGTCAGAAGCTCTTGAACACCATGATGCCTGACTTTGCGCAAGAAAAGAGCCCAGATCGATGGCGAATATGCTGGGATGCAAAAACTCCTACAGAAGACTGGTTACTCTGCCGGCATCCGAATCCAAAGCTCGAAGACCTCTTTCTGGCCGTCGGAGGTAACTTTGACACATATAAGTACGTGTAACGTAAATCTTCATATCAAAGGGCAATGCCTTGATTTAAAAGCCACAGGGCGGATCTGACTGACAGATCAAATTCAGGTTCCTCCCGGTTGCTGGTAAATACATGTGTCAGATCTTGCAAGGGAAGAACAACGGCGGGGAAAAGGACGCCGCCTGGGGCTGGAAAGACGAAGCCACCTTAATGAACGCCAAGAAGAAGGAACTAGGTCCTAAGTCAAGTACTCTGTCATTACCCGAGTTTCGATCGTTTGAAGAAGGAAACCGGTCATCCAAACTTTAGTCGGGTCCGGATGTGTCAGGTATGTCATGGGCCAGTATGAAGTGACCCATCAAAGACCTTGTTATCCTGAAGATCTCACACAGAAATAGAATGCGGATGCATGAATAATATGAGATGGGTTTGGCAAACAAAGCGAGCTAGTATCTGACCTGAAAACTATCTGGATGCTGCAAAAGGGGGGCATCACTAGCCTCGTATGGATATTTTCTTCCGACCTGCCTGACTAACTCCGCATGCTCCTTACTGCGAGGTATGACTCTCACTTTGAAGGCCGTGGGATATGTCAAGATCCCCGGCTTCGGTCTCACATCGACCTCAATTTCCTCGCCATTCTTATCCAATGCCTTAGCGATCGTGAAAGCGGCGAGTGTTTGGGCCATGTTAATAAAGAGGCTTGAGTCGGCAAAGAAACGTCCAGGACATATCCTGCGGCCATACCCAAAGACCTCTGTCGTGGGATCAGCTTCATTCCGTGGGGGGAGAAAGCGGTCAGGATCGAATGATTCTGGGTTGATGTAAACATCTGGGTCGTGAAGAAACCACCAAACAGCCGGGAGAACAAAGGCGTCTTTAGGAATTCGATACCCTTCGTACCCAAATTCTTCCGTCGTTGTATGAGGAAAGCTCATGGGAACAATGGGCCACCACCGGGCAGTCTCCTTGACCAAAGCATCCACATACGGCAGTTTGTCGCGGTCTTCGAAGGTCGGAAGGCGGCCAGAGCCAATCACCCGATCAATTTCCGCCTGTGCTTTGCGCTGAACGTCAGGGAACTCTAGCATGGCAAACGCAAAAGTGCTGAGAGTGATGACAGTCGTATCCGCAGCCGCACCGTAAAGACTCGCCGCTGACCAGATGACAGCCTTTTCATCTTCTTTGCTCAACTCGCCGTTCTTTTCTTGAGCCAGCTGTTGGGATAGTTTCGAAACATAAGATGGTCTATTTGAGAAACAGGACAGCTGTTGTTGAACGAACTCGTACGGAATATAGGCCGACGCTTGAATTGATTTGCGCCATTCCCTAGCAGTCTTTTTGAAAGAGACACCCGGGAAACTTTCAGGAAGGTGTTGGAGAACAGGAATGATATCTACGAGCCAAGCCATGGGACTTGCGGCGAGAGAGAACTCAGTCATCATCTTTTCAATGAGCTCTATGAGCGCGTCCGAGTTATGGGGCTCTATGGTGTAGCCATAAGCCATCTGGAGAACGGTGGCAGCGGCAGTACTGGCATTGAATCGACGATTAGCTATGGACATACTTGCTAGATCTTTGTCCAGACTCACGTCTTGTAATGCTCTAGGAGACTCTCGGGTCTCTCCAGGGACCGTATCAATTGTCGGCCTACTTCGCACTCCTGAACGTTACGGAACTGCGACGCAGAGACCTTGGTACCGAGCTCTTGGTGAAGAAATTTGCGATACCGTCGAAACATGGGCGTATAGCCTTGACAAAGAACGATTGATTCGTAGCCGCAAAGCTTGTTGGCCATGACCATCGAGGGTCGACCTGACGTCTTACTTGCATTTTGGTCTAGCAATTCATGCGCCATGTTCTTGTCGTGGACGATGATGAGAGTCATCCCCATAACCGTTACCGAACTGATTGGTCCATACAAATCCTTATGCTTGAGCCAGTGTAGATGCTCCGGTGTGCCCTCAGGAGGGAAATCTCGGATGTTACCCAGCAAAGGGAGTGGCTTTGGCCCCGGAGGAAGTTTTCGTTGGTTCGGTGTCCGCCTGCGGCTGTAAATAACAAAGCTTGCCAAAGCGAGTATGCTCCAAAATAACCACAACATATAAGTCATATTGGCAAACAGTTGAAGGCCTCGGCCGAAACAATGTCAAGCTCTGTCTCGAGTTTATGTGAGGAGAGCTTGGAAAAAAAAAGAAGATGTTTGTTTTTATCTGGAAGTATGTACGTATGAAGCAGGTCTAGTCTATTCGCTTACCTGTCAACTTGCTTCCTGCGCAAAGCCAGTGCGAAGGGAAACCTGAACATCATAATCAGAAGACATCTCTACGGATGCCATGGATCCGAGGCCGGGGTGGCTGCGTATTGCTAAACTGGAGTGATCTTGTCAATGATGCAAGGGTGACACTCAACATGTTGTTTCCAACAACGAATTCCGGAAGCCACTGTTGGTTTGGATGAATACAGGGTCCGACATCAATTACCAACATGAGTGCAGACGTGTGGCATCATCTGGGGTACGTTATTGGCTTGGCTGCAGTGTGGTGAGGTCCAGCCCCTTCCTTCACCTGCAGCCGGTGAGCAGCCGATCCAATGATGGAACGCGCATTGCTGAAGATACGGGAGAGCGGGCGTGGCGGAGATTGAGGTTGTCCGTCGTTTGGTGGTCATTTTCTCCAAACGGGGCATACCGCACACGGAGTAACGGGCAAAACAGGGCCAATTCATGAGAAGCAGACCGATCACCGAAATAAGTAGCTGTATAGTATGGAGTGGATCATTTGGACATATCCGGGTGGGGTGAGATGCCAGGGTAGTGCTGTTGGCTATATCACAAGCTTTCAACTGCTTTCCGTGATATGATCTGACCAGACTGCTTTGGCACGCTTGCATTATGGCTCGCCAGATCGCTCCATGTAAGTCAACCCGAGATTATGATACTTACGTGTGGCTGCCCAAGAGGGAATTGACGTTTGGATGAGCACTTGCACATCGTCAGAAGCACTCATCCACATCTTGCGAAAGGCGGTTTTTTTTGTAATTGTTCTGTAGACTGTAGTTGAGCCCTGGATGAATGCAAGATCAGACACTCTTCAGGTTGCAGAATCGCAGAGTTCGTCCGGTCAGTGCCCTTGCACCATCCCTGCTAGCTCCCCTGCCGCCGCTAAGGGGGAAGCGGGCCGGCCTGTGAAGACGTTGCAATGGGGTCCCGATGTAGCTGCAGAGTATGTGGCAGGCATCGCCCGGTGTGATGTGATAGACTCTGTCATTTATCCTGCAGGAGTCCTAAACCGTATGGGATAAGACGAGGCGCCACTTGAAGAATTTCGCTGTAGACAAAAGGTCAAAAGCTGGCGCGGCCTGAAACTAGCCAAACTGGATTCCGCCCACATCTCGACTCAAAGAGGCTTTTATCCGCCTTCGCGGCCATTGAGTCGGCTGATTCCTCGGACTTACTTGGCAAGGTCGAATCTTCATGCAGCGTAGCAGCCATTTCTGCCACTTGATTCCTTACGCATGGCGTTCCGAATTGGACTTTGCTTCAAGTTCCTGCCTGTAATTAGCGCCCCGTCTCCTTCACGCTCGGCTACCTGGGTGATGTGGAATCCGAATTTTCAATCTCATTCGTGCCGAAGATGGAACCCTAGATCTTGGGAAGGGAGAGAGAAGCATCATTCTCTTGCGTAGCTCTGTTAAACCCTTCCTCCCTGCCTCCCTGATGAGCTGAATAAATTGTTTTTAGACTTCTTTGCTTTGCCTTACTATCGACCCATCGTCAGGCTGGTATGAGGGTACCGCTATAGACGAGTAGCCATGGGAAAGCTTCCAACCGAAGAGGACATCGCCTGGATGGTGGCGCATATCAACGACTCGACGGTTCCCGACATCGTTGTTTGCTGCATCATCTGCAGTCTCGCCTCTGTCGTGATCCTGGCTCTACGCATCTGGGCGAGATCTCAAGCCGGACTCAAGCCCATTTTCAGTGACTGGCTGATCGTTGGTTCGGTGGTAATGCTATTTTTCCCGCAAGATGTAAGGTCCATCGCGCTTACGATAGCCAATAGTTCTTCTACGTCGTCTTCTGCACAGTTTTTGCTTTATCAACAAGGTATGGAGCTGGCAGACACATCATCCTCATAACGGATCCGGAGACGATGCGCATGTTGGCTATCGTAAGTTGGTCTCTTTTGTTCTCCGAGTCCAAGACCTCTAATGACCAATGTCGACGCAAAGCTGATTCTTCGTACTACCTTACAGCTCAATATTTGCAATCCGATTCTATACGGCGTTTCCAGCGTCCTTGTCAAATGGAGCATCCTCGCATTATACCTTGCAATCTTTCCCCAAAGAAAGTTCCACTACTGGGTTCATTTCGTGAGCACCGTCAACTTGCTAAATGGACTCGCCATAGTCCTCGTGAGCTGCCTGCAATGCCGTCCCCTAGAGGCCTTATGGAATACATCAGTGGTGGGCACTTGCATCAACTTCAGTTATTTCAGCATCTTTAACAGTGTCTTCAACTTTTTATTGGACGTGGTTATCCTTCTGACCCCCCTACCGCTCGTCAAACAACTCAACTCGTCGACACGAAAGAAGATCTTACTGTCTATCAACTTTGCTTTAGGCGGAAGGTAGCACCAAGCCGGTTCAAGTTTCGGCGTCGTCTGACAGTGCTAATAATCTAACATAGTGCTTGCATCATCGCAGCTATCCGCGTACCTTACGCAAGACGAGTGGGAGGCACGGTGAACCCAAGCTGTAAGGGCCGTTCTTATAATACTGTTCTCCAAGCCGCGAACCAGAAATGCTGACCGAGCTTATTGCCTCTAGGGGACATGATACCGGGAGGACTACTCTGCGTTGTCGAAGTTGCCGTTGCCCTCTTGACAGCCTCTCTACCTATATACCGTCCACTGTTGAGGTTCTTAGGCATCACCATTACAGCGAATTCCGCATCCAACTACAAACGAGGTAATTTACGCAGTTCGAATAACTTCTTGGGTAGCCAAGTGAGCACACACATCACAAGTGGCAGAGACATGTCGTCTCAGCAAGCAGGTATCAGTATCACAGACGATATAACGTTGACGACACATACATATGTAGGAGGAGAGTGGGTTCGTGTGGCAGACGAAGATGATGATGCTGCTGGTTTGGTTGTGCCAAATGGATCAGCGCCGTACGCACGAACCGTCAGCAGCACAATGAGTGATAAGCTTTATTGAAAAGTAGGCGCTTGTGCTCCAAAATAACCGTCCTCGACATCGAATTAAAGTAGTGTATCAACTCAGATACTATGCACAAATACGAGCGCTGCCATACATTGACTGTTTGGCCAGTCGTGACTACTGATAGACAGCTCCGTGAAGCTTGGGGATCAATATCATAGCAGATTGGATATATTCTCTCAACGCCAGTGAAGCGCAGTTGCGGGTTTCTCTGACCGTTTCAAAGAGAAACCCCGACCCATCTCATCTAGACGCCTCTCATTCTCATGGCCGCTTTGAATATTTTCGCAAAGTCGGCCATATGTTCCTTGTTGAGCATTTTTGCATGAATGCCCGGGCAATTGTGGAACTCTGCTCCTGTCCGCGTGAAGTCCACCCAACGTTCAAGCTTGTTTTTCCTCCAGTCTTGTCGGTCATGAGCCGCGTAAGACGGCGGGTCCGCTACAAACACGTCTAGATTATTGACGTTGCCTTCAGGTTCATAGCTTTGTACATTGACACGGAAGTTCTCGGCAATGTCTGAGATCAACGCAAGCCTTTCAATGTCAATGGCGAGAGCACTGGCACGTTCAGCATCGCCGACTCCGAGGACGTAAGACAGCGCTTCGTCGCGGTTGAGTGTGTGCAAGTGGGGAGTGATGTCCTTCATGGTCTCCTCATCAACGAGCTCCAGGAAAAATGCAATGTGTAAAAGAACATCAATCCAATCCAAGCCGCGCACGTAATGCGCAATGTGTGGCGGGTAGTCGATACTAGCCAGGAACCTTACTTCTCGACCCTGCTTTTCGAGCACCTTTGCGACCTCGAAGGCGAGCGTGGAACCAAGTGAGTAGCCTGCAATGGCATAGGGTCCCTGCGGCTGTGCCTTGCAGATCCCTGCTGCGTAACGTTCCGCAGTCTCCTCAATAGAAGAGAAGAAGGATTCCCCAGGATTGTAACCCCGACTTCTGAGGGCATACACGGGACGGGTCGGGAAGTGTGCTGCAAGAGCAATGAACACGAGGATGTCTCCGCTGCCGGGATGGATACAAAACAAGGGTGTGCCAGATCCATTCTGCTGCAATGGCACAATCGGGGTGTAAACGATTGGATGCGATACGAGCCGGTCAATGGCGGATGCGATAGCGACGACGGTTGGCCTGAGCCGAGTCAAGGATTAGCAACTGTGCCTCGGCCAGACAGGAGTATGTAAGATAAGAAGGGTTCATAATAGAGGCTAGAAGAGCGTCACTTACTCTGTCAGCAAGACTGACATGGGGATGTCAACCTGGCCGCCAATCGCCCCCTGTATTCTGGTTTTCAGAAGGATGAGATGCATCGAGTCGACGCCGTGGTCGAAGATGGACGTCTCCACGTCAATCTCCACAACAGGCATCTTCAAAAGGTCGGCTAATATGCCCTGCACAACCTTCTCGCTGTCAGTCTCGGCGCCCCGCCTTTTGTGCTGTCTGTCTTGGTCGAGGAGCTGTTGGTCTTCGCACTCAATCGGCCCGAATTGACCACTCTCGAGTGCAGCGCGGATTTTGGAGCGCGAGATCTTGCCTAGTGATGACTTTTCAATCATTGATTGGGGTAAGGGCACTATTCGTGCTGGCCTTTTGCCCGTTGTTAAGGAAATCACCCTTGTGATTGCCCTTACCGTCTCAGAGCGCGCACGGAGATCTTCGTCACGGAATCGCGGGGAGTAGGCGATGGCGATACTCTCAGTCGGTGACCCAGCCGTCCGGGTCGGGAAACAAACCGTGAAAGATGGAGTCATCCCTGGAATCCTCTCATCATCGAGTGCGCTTTCCAGCTCGGTTGCACTCCACTTAACGCCATTGACGATGATGGAGTCCTTGATACGGCCAGCCAAATGAAGATTGCTGGCATCATCAATCCATGCCAGGTCTCCCGTAATGAACCAGCCGTCTGAACTGAAGGAATCTTTCGTCGCCTTTTCGTCGTTGAAGTAGTGGCTAAATACCATTTTTCCAGTGACCTGAAGCTGGCCGGTGTGGCCTTTGGGAGCTTCATCCTGGGGATCATGGAGGCTCATGACGCGCATTTTCATCCCTGGTATGCACGAACCCAGACTCGCGAATTCAACAGATCGCTCGATGTCGTATGAGGGGCAATGTATGGAATAGATGGAACCAGCGCATGTTTCCGTCATTCCAAATCCTGGGCGTATTACCTCACCCTTGCAGCCAAGACGGCGTAGTTCTCGCGTAAGCTCATGGCAAGTTGATGTAGGATTTGACTCGCCGCCTGATATCAAAGCCCTCAGATTGTAAAGATTTGCTGTACAACCTGGACTCAGAACCAGAGTGTCCAGAACCATGGCCAAGAAGAAGTTGGGCGCAAAGGTGTAAGTGACATTGTATGTGTCCAGAAGTCGAATAAATTGCATTGGGTCTTGAATGAGAGGCGGCGCAGGAACATGAATTTGACTGGCTCCAAGGCTCACTAGAAAGCTTGATTTAGTTCCTTGGCTGGCCAGACATCGGAAAGATTCAGCTGCAACTGGAGGGGCTCAGAGGTATTACTCACTTGCATGAAGATGGATTTCTACTAGACTTGCGACATGATCTAATCCGACCCAATTGAGAAAGATGTCGGCAGTTGTGGTCCTGTGGTGTGCGCTTTTTCCAGTGACGGCATCGAGGACTTGGCCATGGCGGAGTGGAACTGCCTTGACATTGCCTGTGCTCCCGGATGTCAACATTAGCGCCGCGATGCTGCCGGCGTCTGCTTTTTGTCCGGCATCCTGACTCGCAAACTTCTCAACGCAATCAACGTATCGAAGGTCCTCGACAGTTCTAACTTTCAATTCGCACAGATCAAGAAACTCAGCTGCAAGTTTGTTAGTGGTGATTATGGTCGGCTCTTTCAGTAGGCCGTGCAGGTGGTGTAGATGCTTTTTGCGCTGCCCAATGTTATTGACCAGCGGAAGTGACATACATGGCAGAAATCCTGCCAACGTCGCCGCCCAGAACCAGACAATGCTGTCACGCTGTGAATCTAAGTGTGTCAACAAGACCGACTCCGGCGACTGAGCTTGGATGCTGTGGTTGATCAATCTTGCCTTATCGTGTGCCTCGGACAAGAGTTCGCGGTAGGATAGGGTGGAAAGACCGGGTTCCGCAACATTTTCAGAGTAAAAGTAGAGATGACCCTTTGTCTCTGCCGCTCTTTTGAGTAGCTGGGATAAGGTTCGGACAGATGCAGGAGCTTGAACAGAAGCCATCGAAGCTGGAAAGGCTCGGAGTATAGCAAGCGACGGTACCTTTGGCTGGGGATCAACCTCGACGTAGAATGGCCTATTTGTATGCGTTGTACTGAATTGAGAAGCGAGGAATGTTGATTAACGGCAATGACAAAAACCAGATTTCAATGCTCCCACAGATACTGTAAGCTAGCACGGAATCATGATTTGGGTGAGATTTCAGGGAACTAGGGTAGGGAGCAAACAGACATGAAATCATGCCTGCATGAGCCAAGCTGCACTTTTCCGCTGCTCAAAGGAACAAACACAATGATTTAACAGTTCACCCCTTCGTGCGCAGGATTTGTTTGCTATCTAGGTTCCATTTTACTCGGTAAATTGACCCTTTTTGGGGGGAAACACTGAGCTGTGTGCAGCGTGGAAAGGGGCGTTCAAATGCATTGGCCGAACTCGCCCCATTTCCAGGTTGAGCCCAGCCAGACAGGCGCGTGGAACACAGCATAGCAAGTTGACTTTTCCGCCGTTTCCGACACTTTCCTAGTATCCAGCGGCAGCCCTGTCTCCGTGGCCCCTCTATCGACTGCAGAACAAAGTGCATGAAGATTGTGGCAGTGTTCCTCGTCTTCTCCACGCTTGCGTACCTGCGCGGTGCGGATGCCTGGCGCTGTGACACTCGCATGCGTCTTTGTGGCTAGATAGAATGTAGATTGGTCGCATCAATTTTAGCGTTCTTCACACCATAGCAGCCGATGGAATCCTTCTGGATATGTCATTTTTTGATCAGCCCAGACTTGTCCAAAGTATAAGTTCATGTGGTGTGACGGTGGCTTACAATCAAACCGTCCAGGTAGCCGACGAAGCCTTATCAGCTGGATCGCAAACCCTTGCAATACTCGCGGCCAAAGTAGGTACTAAGTGTATCTTAGAAGAAAAGGACATCTTACATTCTTATCCTGGGAAGGCACGGAAGTCGAGGCAAGGGTCAGGTCGACAAGAACCGCCATGGTGAGGAAGATATAGTGCATACCGAACAGCGTACTATGTATTGAATTGAGTCAATGACTTAAGCAGGTTTCTGATATTAAATAGCAAGACTGATAGAAAAGTCTTTGCACACGTAAAGCCAGAAGCCTGGTCGAGATACAATGCGTGGCCTTTTGTAGCCGCAAATCTACCAGCAGTGTGTATCTGAACATTTTTAGACCAAGTGGTCCCATATTAGCCTTTTAGGGTCACAGCAGGAAAGACGCCAATCCTCGGCGTAACACTCACTGCAGCTGAACTTATAGCAATAACTCAATAGCCCTGCTCATGTTGTTGGGCGTTCCGTAAGCACAGAGAATTGCTGGATAATTATGAATACCTATGTCATCGTTGAGCCTAGAGCACGATCTTTTGTGCGGAAAGATACTTACACTTGGCTCTTATTTTGTTCAATGAAAACTTGTGTTGACACGAGGTCCGCAGACTCTACACAATCGCGTGAATCTTATATGACAACAAGTAGCGGCTGCTTTATACTCTCATCTACCTAGGCTCATCGTTTACCGACGTCCCTTCTTTCACAACCTGTATCCCAGATACCCAGTCAAACTCGTCAAACGCGATATGATCAAGTTTGTTTCGTTCTAGAAAAGCTGAACGACATGGGTTACATGCCCTTTTATGAGCAGTCGGGTAGATACCATCTTGGCGCGGTTACGATGCCACGTCACTTTGACAGGTGCCAAGAAGCTTCTCAAGATATTGTTTCGCTGAGGGAGCCATATGAAAGGAGTTATGATATGCTTCATGGTACCGACGGCGGTCTTGGTTGGTGGCTTCAAGTCGTTTATGGATGGGCAGCTTGGCGATCTCCTGGATCCAGATAGTAATTAGTAAACATTCAACACGAAGTAGATTTTCATATCCCTCACATCCTTGGTATGCCACGTATAATTCACTCTTTCTTTCACACCTTCACGATTGTGGCCCTCTCCTTCTCCACCTCATCGAATCACTAGACCCCGAGTCAAGACCTGTAACCCATGCGTTGAGACACGTCATTGCTAGATACACAACTTCATGGCTTCCCGTCTCATGTGTTCTCTTCCTGCCAGCTCTTCCATAACTCCTAATAGAATCTAGACCTGCGACGTTTGGACGGCCTGGCGATGATATGTTTCCGGTTATGAAAATGGATCATTACCGATATTTTCGCTGTAAGCTGATGAATAGAATGGGTAGAAAGCTACATGATTGTCGAACTCCTTCTCGTATTGGCTTCCGAGATATCTAATGCTCGAAGCTCTCGTGGCTTGATCCACAGTTTTCAATATAATCTTTACTTGAACGTATTGCTACTCTGAATGACCGATGAAGCCGGTAGAGCTTGCGTGCTACAACTTTGAACGTCTGGCTAGATTGACGTGAATCGCCTTAATGTTCGAGTAAGCAGCCAGTCCAGCCTCTCCCAGTTCTCTGCCAATCCCACTCTGTTTGACCCCACCGAATGGAATTCGCCAATCACTATCATTACTCGAGTTAATCCATACCATGCCTGCTTCGATTCTCTTTGCAACAGTATGGGCGCGGGCAAGGTCTGTGGAGAACAGAGCGCTTCCAAGACCGTACTCGGAATCATTGGCCAGGGCGATAGCCTCCTCCTCGGAACGGAAACGACATATGACGACAAAGGGACCAAATACTTCCTCTTTGAAGATCCTCATCTGAGGCGTGACCTCAGTAAAGACCGTGGGCTCGATAAAATAACCAGGGGCGTTAGCTTGGTGAGGCTGGCCTCCAAGCTCGAGCCGTGCGCCCTCCTTCTTGCCGATGTCGACGTAGGAGAGGATTCTATCGTACTGTGCCTTGGTGACTTGTGGTCCCTGAAAGGTGCTCTCTTCAAATGGATCTCCGACCTTGGAGATCTTCATGACCTGATGTCGGAAAGCTGCCAGGAACTTGTCATAGACAGTGTCCTGCACTAGAATCCTCGAGGTCGCGGTACAGATCTGGCCTTGATTCGACATAATGCCAGCGTGAGCCCAGTGGACAGCCAAGTCCATGTCAGCATCATCAAACACAATTAGTGGACTCTTGCCACCCGTCTCAAGCGTAATGTTCTTCAAGTTATTACTCGCCATCTTCATGATTCGTTTCGCCGTCTCGGTAGACCCTGTGAATGCAATCTTATCAACATCCATGTGGGATGCAAGAGCTGCGCCTGCGACAGCTCCAGAGCCATTGACGATATTGACCACACCAGGTGGAAATCCTGCCTCTACTACGAGATTTGCGAAATACAAGATGGATAGCGGTGTTTGCTCCGCCGGCTTGAGGACGACAGTGTTACCACAAGCCAAGGCGGGGCCGAGCTTCCAGGCAGCCATTGCCAGGGGATAATTCCAACTGTAGTCGTTGAAATTTGTTATTGAAATTCTTGGTGTAGAGAAGCAAAAGTAAGAATGAGGGAGTTGATGCGTCTTACGGGATGATCTGGCCGCAAACTCCCACTGGTTCGCGGGCTGTATAGGCAAACTTTTCAGGCGTAGTCTCGATCACCTGGCCGAATACCTTGTCTGCAAAACCGCTGTAGTACGTCAAGGTCTCAATAGCCTCGGTGAGATCCTCGTTGAGAGATACCGAGTATGGCTTGCCGTTGTCCCATGTCTCGATAGTTGCCAGTGTCTCGCGGTGTGCTTCCATCAATTCGGCAAGGCGCACCATGCATTTCCCGCGGTCCGAGGCAGGCAAGTCCCTCCAACTTGGGTGATGAAGGGCTTTCCGCGCAGCTTGGACTGCTCTATCGACATCATGAGCCGTCGCTGCGTACACTGAGATGATTTCCTTTTCGTTGCTGCGCAAGTTTATTAGCGACATGGCTTTAGGGCACCGTGAGGAGATGTGAGACCATACGTAGGATTGATGCTGACAATCTTACCGCCATCAGACGATTTTATCCACTGGTTGTTGATGAACAGCCCTGTAGGCTGGAGGTATGTTCGCCCATTTGGGGCGGTCAACTTCACAGAAGCCATTCTGTGGGAGTCGGGAATTTCAATGCTCTTACGAAGTGCAAGAAGAAAGGGAAGTTTGCTAAGCTCTCTAAATGCAGTAAGTTCCGGTTCCCAGAACGATCACGTCTGATTAGGTACAGCTAGCGAGAAATGTTTCGAGAGACATTTAAGCCATCTGGGAAGGGCCAAAAGAGCTATCAATCACTGCCGTTGCTTGCCTTTATCTACTGACTAATGAGGCCATTGCCGAAACCCGTTGCCATTACCCACATTGCGGAGTCTTGTTTGTGAGAAATGCCCCGGCCCGGGACTGCTCTCTCCCACCGGGTGCCTCCAACGTAACGAACAAGCACTGTGCGGGAAACCAGCTACCAGCTTGCAAACTGCGACAAAACGAGGCTTAAAGCTGACCGATATCGCATATCTTTTTCAAGCCTATGGATGTGAGGGGAAACCACGTTTGGGATTACTGCGGAGAGTCTTCCCGACGGCTAGACGCGCTTGGAACGCGGTTGTTGGGTGATAGATATCTAATTCCCTGCCATAACACTACGGTAGGGCGCCATTGCACGCCAAATTAGGAAAGAAATTTGGCCAAGCTGCTTACCCCGGTGACACCACGTGCCAGGTACCAGCTCTAGCTCGCCGAAGGGCCGATGGCAAACCGGAACCAATGTGCCAGGGTGCTCCTTAGTCTCGCCGCACCGCTGGTATCAGATCAAGTTGATCAGATGGCTAAGAGCCAAGCTCAATCGGGAAAGAAACTAGGCCATGATCTAGACATTGACCAACCTCTATCAACGCTCGTAGAGATACAGTACCCCGTAGATGCCTTGTGCCTAAAGCTGACTTCGAACGCGTTCTGAGCGTCGGAATGGTTCAATGATAAGCGGCTAGCGGACCCCGTAGTAAGTTCATGTTTGGGGCTAACTATGATACCCCTTACTCGGGGTACAATGTCTCGACTCAAAGGAAAGCAATAAGCCCAAGTTGCGCGACTCCGCGAGGTGCTCACTTCACGGGTCACGGGTCATGGATATCCTTCGTAAAGAGGACGGAGCACGGATATTTCACTGAAAGAGACTTGATGTACAAGGTGGGGGACCCATCGATTAAGGATTGCTCCATGGATGGCAGACCAAGGGGCCATCTCATCCACTCCTCAAAGCACACTTTCCGAGCTGCATTAGGTACGCAAATACAGGTACCAGTCGAGGAGCCAGAACTTTTCAAATGCTATTTTAGGGTTGACCTCGTTTACACGATTGTCCGTGAGCTAGGACACCATACCTACACTAGGCAATCATCACTGACCTGCTGACATCTAGAGAGAGAGTGTTCTTGAATAAATTTGTATGTTGTTCCAGCTTCATAGCTAGAGATGATGAGATGACCGAACTCACAACATAGCAACTCTCATTCCGTTTGTGCCAGAAATCTTTTGTGGCCGAGCCAACAGATCCAACCCCATTCTTCTCTACACCCCTTTCCACCATGTAGCGCTGACCCAAGCTTTCCTGGTGGAGTGATTGCCGACACCCGCAATGACACTACCTATACAACAGATGTCTATGGACCGCGAGCGACATGGCGGATGGACATGTGTAGCAAGCTGCTTCACTTCCTTTCAGGGCAGGAGAAGCTGAAGAGTTCGAGAGACGACACTCTGGTCATGTTACATTTTCCCCGCGGCATCCGGCCACCTACTCAAGAGCCCACTAGGTAGAAATGGGTCTAGGATGGGGGGGTTCTTATCAGCTCGGTAATGCAATTAGCTTGGATTGGTCTTGGTCAACAAGTATTTGACTGGGGCCACCCATGACGTTGTGAACTCTTCTGATGGGGCACTGACTCGATCCACGCATACTGGGAACGACCCGCCGATACCAGCTCTGTGGGGCTCACCCCGCGATTCCAAGGTGTCAACTGTCTGAACTAGTACGTAATTCCTGCAGATAACGCGACCTTGATCTTGTGATAGCGGGAGTAAGTAACTCGTGATGGTTCGGGAACTTGGAGGCGAACAGTTGATGAAGGCATTTACTTCGATGGCCCAACGGCTGTCAAACCTTACCCGAGTACTCGTCGACCGGGCCGTGACTTTGACGGAATACAATGCCGGGCTACTTTGTTGTAATCAGCCTGGCATGGCGGGTGTAGACTGTTCACACCCACAGCCAAAACATACGCAGACACAGGGGCAATGTGTCCATACGCGCACTGCGCTCTTATTCGACCTTGCGGATCTTCATCACACCAATCTTGATACAACGTACTGTATCCGTATCCGAATCGAATATCGGGTGCTGCCAGCATATGAAAGAAGGGCATTAGGGAACGAGCGCGACATTGATCTACCCAGGCTGTTGCAACCTTGCTAGCAATCCGCCTCCTTATCAATTCCAGGGGAATATTTCGGGCGCTGACAGCCCATCCTTGCATCTCATACAAAAAGCACTTCGCACCTCTTGCAAGCGATCACCTCAACTCCGTACTCCCTCTCGAGTCCCATCACAGCCCAGACAACGCACCCGCGCGAAACGAAACCACACAAAATTTCAATAATCGGATTCGCCATTCAGCCAACTCAGATTTTCAGTCTCTGTCCCGAGCTATGGAGAATGACCCGGAATCGAATCCACCACTCGACCATCTAAAGACCGCCGACCAGGTCGCTCAAGATGCGCAGGATCTCGCCTATCTCGGCCATGACCAGGCCCTTTCGCGAAAATTCAGCAGGATGAGCATGCTATTCCTCGCCATATCCGTACTGGGAACTTGGTCTACATTTGCGCAAGGACTTTCGAGCGGTATCACCAGCGGCGGACCAGTTGCTATTCTCTGGGGCCTCGTCCTCGTCCTGTTTTGCAATATCTGCGTGGCCGTCTCATTGGGGGAGCTCTGCAGTAGTATGCCAACAGCCTTGGGACAGGCGTACTGGATATTCCGTCTGTGGCCATCTGGCCGCTTTGTGTCCTACCTCTGCGCATGGATCAATACCTTTGGATGGTGGACGCTTTCTGCCTCACAGGTTGCTTTTATGGCCAACTTTATCTTGAGCATGAAGGTTCTCTTTGTGCCGGACTGGTCCGAGGTCAGTGTTGGATGGATCAACTTTCTTCTCTATCTTGCCGTCACCCTGGTGGTTACGGTCGCCAATCTCGTTGCCTGCCGGAAAGATGCTATCCTACCGGCATTCAACAACTTTGTCGGAATTTGCTTTATCGGACTCTTCTTCATCTTCAGCCTGGCCCTTCTCATCTCGGTTGGAGTCAGACCAAACTTGCAGTTCCAGCCAGCCTCATTCGTCTTTGGACAATGGATCAACCAGACTGGCTGGGGAGACGGGGTGACCTGGTTTACAGGCCTTCTTCAAGCTGCATATGGGTTGACGGCCTTTGACTCCGCTGTCCACTTGGCTGAAGAAATCCCGGCACCTCGCAAAAATATCCCGCGCGTTATCTGGCTTTCAGTCACACTGGGAGCTCTTACTGGGTTTATCTTCATGGTGGTGTGTTTGTTCTGTATCCAGAATCTTGACACCATCCTAAACCCTCCTACTGGTCTGCCTTTCATGGATCTAGTTCATGAGGCTGTCGGACTGCAGGGGGCAACTGTCCTGCTCTCCCTATTCATCTTCAATGGTCTTGGTCAAGCTATCAGTATTGTTACCACCGCCTCTCGTCTTACCTGGGGATTTGCGCGAGATGGCGGGATGCCCTGGAGCAGCTACTTCTCCAGGGTGAATGAGGCTTGGCGTGTGCCGGCTCGCGCATTATGGCTTCAGGGAGCCATTGTTGGCGTTGTTGGCGTGCTCTACATGTTTGCTAACACGGTGCTCGAGGCGATTCTCAGTGTCAGCACAATCGCCCTTACGATATCTTATGGGATGCCTATCCTGACTCTCATACTCGTCGGGCGAGACAAGCTTCCGCCTGGAGAGTTCAGATTGGGACGCCTCGGCCCGGCAATCAACTGGATCTCCGTCATCTACTGCGCTATTACTACGGTGTTTTTCTTCTTTCCATCGGCACCCAATCCAGCACCAGCTGATATGAATTACGCAATCGCAGTCTTTGGAGTCATGATGGTGGTGACTCTGGGTTTCTGGTTCATCAAGGGGCAGTACACGTATCTCAAGACGGATGATGCGGCAGAGCGAATTATTGAGGCTCAGAATGCCGAGGTGACTATTGCTCCGGTTCCTCGTAAGAATTAGGCGCCATCCTCGAGCACACAAATGCAATGTACACGCTATTATCTTTTACTCTTCAAGTCTTCCTACGCATAGCATTCAGTTCAATATCGTATGTTTCCGTAAACAAGACTTTGAGCCGGGACATGGTTCAGCCTTAATCAACCTTAGTTTTACATAGTACACTCGTTGATCTTGGTATCTTAAGGTGATCTTGAACTTCATGCCTGAATCCTCCAGGCTCAAGAATAGGGTCACTACTGCGTAGGCGCAATCAACATAATCAACTAGCGCACGTGACGTGTGTGTGCCACATTCATTACCAGTGGAACCCGTTCCCAAGACAAAGTGGGTTGATGGAGATTTGAGCCCGCCGGCCTTGGCATGCCCGCCCGCCCACCGTTCCGTTGAGCGCGTCTCACCCCGAGATGAGTGCCGATTCAGCCGCCGCCGCCCCCTCGGTCCAGGGGCTGGGGATCCCTGGGGGGCTGCATGGTCGATTTTCCTTCCTAATTCAGTAAGTAACTTGCCCATGGCATCCCTTGGTCTTGACTAGACACCTCATGCACACCTGTCGTTATTCACACTTACTTTCACCTTGACACACTCAGATCTCAGAACCAATCTGAATCGCTCTTCTGTTACTTCAAAGCGCGCTTTTGATTGCAATCCCCTCTGCCTCGAGATCGAATCTGATTACTCAATTACGAAATCACCCGGCAGCAATGCCGGTCCACTTGTCGCACCCCGGCCCGGTCTCTGCTCTCCCCAAAATCTCCGCCTTCCGCTGTTCCGCTACAGAATGGGGCTAAGCAGCGCCGAAATC